TTTATTTATTGATCAGCTCAAGGTGACATTTTAAACGAAGAAGTAGAAGCATCGTTCTGTGCGGCAATTCTACTCATATCAAAGCAAAGATTTCGCATTGGTATACTGATTGAAGATTGCATAACGAATGAATATTGGTGACGGTAATGTCGTTCAGCAATGTTGCTGACTTCGAGACTTATATCCTGATTTGATAATCGGATTGAAAATTATACCAAGAATGTACGATCATTATCCATTCTTGATCATTACGTTTCCAATAATTTTATTCAACTATTGTACGCACATGCAAGTAAAATCGTTGGAACTCTAAGTAGATTGTAGATGACATGACAAAATGAATAATGACAATCAAGGTTTTCTTTACTTATTTGACTATCTGTAGAGTGACGAGTTCTGATTAGCAGATCAATGTAAGATAACATGGCAAATAAATCGTTACAACAGCAGCAACCACAAGTTGCACAAAGATTTTATTTTTTTATTCGTTCCTTTTTCCAACCGAAGTTAGTTTTGAATAATCTGATTCGATATTATAGCGCAAATGAATAGCTATTAACACAGTTCTGTTCACTTATGACATAGATTCGAAAACGGATTTATGAAATTATTACGTTGATCGAAGACCACATAAAAATAGATAATCAAAAGTACCACCACTGTTTTGTTCATTTATTTTATTCATTTGGGAACAAAGGCATTGATTCCACAATGCTAGTTGGAGATTATTTCACATATAGACAATTACAACAAACTTTCTGTTCATTTAAAGTCGCTCAAGTCAATGCAATGCTCCGAGTTGCTTTGCTCATCAACTGTTGCATAAAAAATGAATCTTTCTCACGACTGTTCTATTCATCTACTTTGTATATTTCAACACAGAACTCTTGAGCCACTCTGTTCGTCAAGATCCCATGGCGAATGTATGGTTAGGATCAATTTTCTTTTGTGAGACTTCAGATCGGTCGTTTAGTGCATCAGATTTTATAGTTCCTACATGAAAATAGACCATCATTTAGATTACTTAGGAACACAATTTTGAAAATACATTGTAAAGTTCATTACTTATAAATTCTACATGTAAGATGTATGTGCTTTTACTCGTGTGTTCAAGTCAATAGTGACTAATTTTCAGCTGATATTTTCATGAAATCGAATTTTCTCATTGGATTTATTTCTATAAGATCGAGATTAAAACTATCATCAAATTGACATCACTAACCTTACTAAATCGATATGAACGCCGTACTATTCAAAATAACTAAATTTGTCTGAACAAGAGTATTTAGGCAAAAAAGTCTGTTAGGCAGCTGTTTCTATTTTTCGAAAATTACGCCTACAGAAATAGAAGAAAACGCTTAGTGCTAGTCTAATTAAATACTGTGCTTTCAGAATATAATCCATGTATAATTGGCAATGAAAACGAAACGACAATTTACTACGTTGCAATTTCTTGACGAGGCAAAACGTTAGTGCGTGTCGATATACTGTTGACTCAAAAGAGCAAACTAAGCAAACAAGCTATGCGAAAATGTAAATGGATCGACGGACGGTCAATTTGATCTTGCCGCTACATAGTTTGTGGACGATAGCTTGGAGAACATTGTCATTCAATTAAGCTTTCAAGATAATTATTCGATTTTGACAACTCAGATCATGTCAAAAACATTAGAACGATTATGTTGTACTTTCAAACGAAAATTATGTCATATATCAGTTTGTATCTATATTTGTGAATATCGATTTATATTATTAGAATCTGATGTCTACTCAGCGTTCTTTTAAATAAAACTTAGTGAGAATTCTCGGTATAGTCTATATATGTTTAGAGGATTTCACCTATGCGAGAAAAAAGAGGATATAAACCACTTTCTTTATTGAGGTCCTGTAAATGACCACCATCTTTTTGTTCTACATTGTCCATCTGTGTATCACGTTCTTGATGATGTTTGTTTATGTGTTGAGGATACAATGATTGTTCACATGCATCATAGCAAGTAATTTATGTGTCTATAGTGCACTTGTTGCATGGTTTCTTTATCAAATCTGATGACATGTTTAGTCCTAGCAACAAAACTAGACGTGTTTTATCAAAATAATATCATCTACATACTATGTCGGTTTCAAGCAAGAAGCACAAAATCAAAACGACGCAATTTTCCAAGGTACGAGTGAAAAGAAAACAAACACGTCTTTTGATAACGACTTTTTTGAAACGTATTGAAATGTTTTTTTTTGCTTATCGTATTGCATCACACCACAGTAAAGAATTAAGATGGTTGATAGCGAACAACAAAAAGAGTATACCTCTTTTTTCCACTTATCATAGTGAAATATACTACTGTCAATATCAAAGATAGAAGAACTTGAGCACAACAATAGCCAATAAGACCGAATTCTTTGCAGGTTATCCCATGTTGGAAATAAAAATAGTCAAATGTTGCAGAAACTTGATGGATCGATCGTAACGAGTGTTCTGCTATTTTTAGTAAGCATCTTGAAAAATGACAAATACAAGCTTTAGACATTTTGAAATATATATATTTGCATATTATCCAATGTATGTTTGAGTAAGAATAGTAAGATCGAGAATTGATTTTGGCTATTCAGTAAACATCTATGTCAAGTCTTTTTTATCTACTGCATCATAGCTGATGAATATTCGTAAGAGTAGATTTGATTGAAGTTGAAAAGAAGACTCTCACACGCACACTCCACTAAAACTTGATCCTTTGAGGTTACAACTCTGTATTCGGATAAAATAAGAAAAAAGAAAGCTAATTTGGCTGCTTTCGATTCAGCTTCAAGAAGTCAGTGTCTGTGTCATAATGCTTGCTTGAAATGAACTTCACTATGTATTATAAGAAACAGCTCAGTTCATGGCATTGAAAAACTTTCTCTGATATGTCGTATGTTTATCTAATAGTAGGAAAAAACTCTAAAAAGCTTTACATGATGAAGAACAATAATATTCTATTTTTTTTGAAAATTATAAGTTTAGATTAGACTTTATAATGCAGTTTTGTAGAAAGTTGAATGGAAAATCTTTTGAGACTAAGTACAAATTTTACAGTGAAAGCTGACCGAGAAAAACATGAAATAAAAAAGGTACCATTATTTATGATATGTCCATTTGACTGAAGGCTGTGGGTGTGGATAAGGAGAAAAGTTATATCCACACTAAAAAACGACGAGTGCCGCAATTTTACTTAACGTTCACCTTAGAATTATGAAAGATTCACTAAAGCAACTTTTCTTAGAGAGTAGAATGTGGCTGAATGGCCACGTACAAATTCATTGAAACTATCCATATCCACACCCAAATTGTAAATATTCTGCTCGATGAAACTGATTTAAATCTCTCTCGGTGGTTCATGATGATGAAAGTACACTATGTGCACGATTGAGTATCTTTGCAGTGAAGTTGCGACAGTTATCATAGATTCTTAAACTAGTTTCGACAAAGATAAATTTATTTTGTTGTTATCTACTGTTGACTTTTAATGCAGTTCGCTGTAATTTATATAATCATCACAATTTTATTATTGATAAAAGGTAAAAGTATAGCACAAAACGAACGTGATAAAGACATACCCAGCACTCAATATACGAAATCCATATACACTCGAAAACGACCGTATACACTTCGCATTTCACCATATACGGCCGTATTCTGATATATTACATACCTCCACATTACGATCGTATTTCTCAGTATTGTGTAAGAAGAAATATGACCGTTTACAGCAAAATACAGATTAAAACAAAGATCTCTTTGATCCCTAAACTATCGTATTTCTTCGTGTCTTATACGAAGAAATACGATTGTAACACGAAACTATGTAATCCACAAAAACACGACGATTTAAGATCTTTTAAGAGCGTACTTGTTTGACCTGCTTAGTTCGTATTTTTTCCACAGTAGATGCCAGTCTGTGGAGCAGCAATAATGGGCGAAGCTTGATGCAGATACACAGTATGTGTTAGATGAAATGTGCAATAAGCACTGGTAAAGGATATCCACACTATTTGAGTCACGACCTTGGAATAGAGTAATATCTCGTGATCAGACTGATTCTATGGTTCTATGTAAACGATGACTTCAAGGCGGCGAATCTTGAGAATAGACTATGTTAGAGTTTAGGCAGTCATACATTATCGTCATTTCTATCCGAATCACAAGTTGTAATACATCTGTCGTATTTGTACAATGTATACACTACGACACCACAAAAATTATGATAATCTTTTTTCAAAGAGCAGAACTGATATGCATGCGTATACCTACGTTTCTTTATCTGCACCGTTTGCTTCAATTTATTACAACATTCTTTTTGTAGCAATGCTGTCTTGAGATCAAAGTTGCGTAGTTTCTTCTGGAAATCACTATGGATTTACAACTGTGCATCACAATACTATTACTACTAATCAGTCAGAGAAGCTATGCATTGGAACCATTCGATCCATACAAACACGATGCCTCTTGTACGACATCGATGTCGACATGTTCCTTCGAAATACATGCAACAACAGCTATGACCATGTTCTATAAAAATCTTTTTCGAGTCGTGGCCACCTCTAATGGAACCCTGCATCACTATAAAGATCCTAGTCGAATATTTCCCATGACTGATATACTAACAGCCGATGGTTACCCAAAACTAGTATGTATAGCTCATTTGTTTATCTCCTTTCTGTCATATTTCGACATCATGGTTACTCTTTTGTCCTAGATATATGTTTTCAATAGTTCTTTACCGGGTCCTGTTATACATGTTTATCAGAATCAAAACGTGCGAATACGTATCTACAATGATTTTCCAACTGAATCACTCAGCGTCCATTTTCATGGCATTCGGCAAGTGAATACACCTGAGAGTGATGGAGTTGGACACGTCACTCAACTGTCTATTTTACCGGGCTCGAGTTTCCATCACGAGTTTGTTGCATCGGATACGGGCACTTTCTGGTATCATTCACACGTCCATAGTCAAACAACTATGGGATTGTTAGGCGGCTTCATTGTACATCCAAGAACAGTAACTACTCGAGAAGAACAGGGTGAATTTGTATTGGTTCTCAATGATTGGCAACACTTTTACACCAGTGAGCAGCACTATGTGCTTATGTCGAGTGGTCAGTTCTATCCGAATAGTATAGAGTCTCTGATACAGCCAAGTAATATTGACTATTTCGAAGCCGTTGATGGATCACGAGCAGCTGAAGCATTAGTCACTTCAATCCTAATCAATGGACGTGGTCAATATTTTGATCCACGCGCAAAGAATGACAGTTTCAGCACAACACCCTTCGAATATCTCAATATGGCTTCGGCATCCAGCAACACCACCTATCGCTTGCGTCTGATCAATGGCGGCAGTGTACTGTCACTGAAATTCTCAATCGATGCGCATCCATTAAGAGTGGTCGCATCCGATGGTATGCCATTCGCACAACCACTAATAGTTGATCAGTTGATTATTGGTCTCGGAGAACGATATGATGTTTTAATCACAGCTGCAGCGGACAAGACAAGGAACTACTGGATTCGAGTAGATACAATGGACAAAAACAATAATCCACGATGGCATGCTCGAGCAATTCTGCAGTACATGCCTAGCAGGATCATGCCAACGACAGAACCACGAAACTGTACAATAGCTCAACCATGTTTCATTCTGAACTGTCCTTTCACTCAATATGGTCCCAAAGAGGATGATAATGCTATGTCTCTCATTTGCTTGACTCCACAGAATATAACGACTCATGAAGATTATCTGGATCGTGGTCTCTTGGATGAAACAGTGATACCTAACGTTCGAAAAACACTCCAAATGACTATGGTTACGGGTACTGATGAACGAGCAGCTTTCGAATCATTCAATTACATTGGCATGCAATATCCACCGATGGATACACCTATTCTCTATGTTGCTCAACATGCTCGAGAACAATTTACCTGTCTCAATCGTTCATTGGATGCAGATACGGGTGACAAGTGCTATCATACTGTCATGGCTCGATATAACGATATCGTAGAATTTCTTCTTGTCAATCACGATGATGATCAGCATCCACTCCATTTACATGGTTCTTTTTTTCACATTATCGAACAAGGTCTAGCTTCATTGAACTCAACAACTGGTGAATTCCTAGCGAACAATGCTAATGTCGACTGCAACGAACATGCAGAATGTAAATGTACGGAAACAGCTGAAGCGTGCAAGAAAAATAATATGCGTTTGGTGAAGGATACAGTACAATTGCCCAAAGGAGGGTAAGACTCGTGTTCGGCCGTTATGAAGACTTTCTTGAAAGAGCGACTTGTACTGTTTTTTTTCAGATATATGAGAATACGTTTTCGAGCGACGAATCCCGGTGTTTGGCTCTTTCATTGTCATACGGAGCCACACTTGTCTCGAGGCATGGCCATCGCCTTGCATGTTAGTACATTCATAAACCCTGTGGAAAGTCGTTTATTGAGGGTTTCATAATATATTTAGATCGCCGAAGATCGGTTATTTCAGTCGAACAAATCTCACTCAACAATTATTGCCAATCATTGCACTTCAATTGCTCTAGCTTTGGCTTTTTGGCTTATATATTTAACTACCGACTAATAAGTTTTCTTGTTGTCTCGAACTATCTTGATGGAAATAATATATAGAAGGCGAATATGTTTTGTGTGTATAGACGTGAAAAATCAGCATGATCTCTCTAAAGTTATGACTCTCTCGCATGATGAAGAAATATTGATAGATGCGTGTCAATATTCTTTCTAGGGTTCAGTTAAACAACCATCTCTATTATGAAACTTTCATTTACCAAATGAATGTGTGTAATCAATGTTAGTGAATACTTCTCAATTTAGCATACATCATAGAGACAAGAGTTGTATGAACCTTGGCTCAAGCTATTTCTAAAGATACGAGGAGTAGATATTCAAAGAATTCTCCTGAGAAATCTTGAAATGAAGCATTCAAAAATAGAGTACGGAGTGTGAATGTGGTCGAAAAGATCATCCACATTCATCATTACGCGCACCCACATATTCTACGCTCTGTTTCAGCTTCTCGTATGAATTCATATATTTGAATAAGAAAACCGATAGAAAGACCGATCATGGTCTCCGCCAAAGGAAAAAACAATCACTAATTCTATAACTGCTTGTTGTAATGCACGGCGACAAGAATTAAAGAAATCACGTGCTAAAAACTTTATTATCAAGCATTCAAAACTGACTATGAAGTTCAAGAATACATTATATATATTTGAGATCTAGCATCGAAAAAATATTTAAAGATGAGCTAAATATGAAAATCCGATAGTTTTCAAATAACTGACGAGAATTTTAAAACACTGAGTTTACTTAAAGAAAACGAATGGATCATACAAAAATGGAAGAATTTTGTTGTTGTGAAAATAAGAAAAGCAATCCAAAGTTTTCGTTTCATGCCCAATAGATTGAGCATTCTTCGTTCTGCAAAACTCTCGACATTATTTTTCATGTTAGTCTTTCGTATCAAGCAATAATTGAAAGGGCTGATTGTGTATAATACCTGATGGGCCAACTGTGATCTTCGGCACTTTCGGTGAACATCGATGCATTTGTCTAAAATCGTCAAGCATCAAGTTTTATTCTGAATCAAAAGTATTTGCAAGTAATAAATAGAAAAGATTATATTTCACACTTCAAGCATCTTCAGACGACTTATGATGATGCTCTTCAAAATTAAAGTATTTGAGACTAGCATCTGGCCGGTATCTTTCAAATGTACTCTAGAAACTATTATATGCCAAGTTAGACGAGCAGGATGTTGGTGAGCGTGTGCCTTCTGTTGTGCCACTTTCATACCCTGATATGGGTAAAAATGTAAATGAAGAGAAACCTCATGCCTACACTTCCACAAACTCGTACATACGTACAATCACACTCTCCCTTATCCAGACCGCCCCATGACCTGCTTCCACACCCTTCAATCCATTCGGCGAGACTCACAGTCACTTCCATGAACATTTATCCAGAACTATTCAAGTTCTGACAAAAGTAGAACTCTATTAATAAAAAGTATTACAACTGAGACAAATCGAGTTGATAATTGATTTTTTCCTACATGCACATACTAATCGTGTCGGCTTGCTGAATTGGTTTCTCATTGAAATCTTGTCTCAAGATTCTCTCTAGACTATTAATCAATTTTCACATTTGGAAAATCCTGAACATTGTTACAGCGAATTGTTTTGAAACAATATATTAAAGCACCATAAAGGAGAGGAAAATTGAGTGACAATCAAACAAATTGTGCATTTGAATTTTCTTTTCTTCCTAATGCATTGTTTTCTTGCTCTTATAGTGAGGCTTGCTTCGTTTACACTCTCGAAACAATGAACAGAAAGCCATCAGCAACAACAAATACTCACATACCAAACAGTCAAAACGAGTGGCAACGAAAGGAAGAACAGCTAGTATTAGTAACGAATTTTACGCCATCTCGAGCTAGTGTTTGTTTCATCGGTATTTCAATTTGACGACTGCTGCGTGCACTATGAGGTACGAGTGAGTATAGATACGTGGTAACTATGAATATGAGTTTCGGTTAGGATGCAAGTATATGCATCGCCAAATCCTCCTAATCAATTGTATTCCACACCCGAAACCATCCACATCCGCATTCAGAGTCGTGCACTGCTGAATCCTGGATAAAACCGTCATTCAGCAGCCCATTTAGGGTGATAATGTGGGTGTCTGAACAGAAATCCTGATACCCACACCCACAGCTTCGTTATTAGTGATCTCGTCATCTTACCTTGAACACGAGAGTTTTTGAAAGATTTCAGTTGATCAGTTAGGTTTTGGAAATAATTGATCTATGCATCTTGAAAGAATCCATCAATGTTTTATATATTCACAAGAAAAAACTTGTTTTAATGGCAAACTCGTCATCAAATTAAAACTATTGAGACGCTGAGAAATAAATTCATTTTATTCGACAATTAGCAAGAGTAAATACTGTTAGGGTAAGCATATTTCATGTTTCTTATGATCGCTTACAGTAACTCCTTGTTCTGGTTCACACAAAAAAGTAACATTCGCTCGCTTTCTCACTTAGCCACTATGGATTACTTTTGGCGTTTGATTATCAATATACGCGAACAAATAGAAAGCTCACACACATTTAGTTCTGCGACATGAAGACTGAGAACAACACAAAAAATACTGACTGTTTACATGCCATTCGTCATGCCTTGATGACAATTTTGCGGAGTTGCTTATGAAAGACATGCAAATGAAGCCATGGTGATTTGAGTTTTAAAAGATATTAGATCTTGAGGATCGATGTGTATGTTGGTGCATGCTGGATGACGGACAGTGGTTCCTGTGCCCACATCGATATTCAATCTATACCCCACATTCATACCTACACCAACATGCCACGCCCACATCCTCACATACACATCCACTCGCACGCACACTCACTCTCATCTTGACACTCATCTTGTTCGGAGATATTGCTTTATTTTCTGGAAACTTCCCAGCTTCTTCTTTCACTTAGGTTCATTGTCTTGATTCTTTCACTTAGGTTCATTTTCTTGATTCTTTCACCAAGTATTTTTCGTACAAATCTGAGCCAATCAAGATACAAAATAAGTTATTATCGTTTTAAAAAGAACTGTCTCCAACTAGAATCCAATTACAACGGAATTTACACTAGTTTGCAGTCGTATTTTCTAAATCCAAGTAAGTTCTGAATGAAGGTCTCCTTGGTTGCTCCTCAGGGTAATCCTATTTCCCAGTCCCAGATATTAATATTTAGTAATAATTCAGCTGGCTGTATACCTGGAGGAGTGTTATTATCTGGATTGTAAGGGGGCACAGGAACAGCAGGGATTGGAACAGCATGGCCATGAACCATTGCAGGAACAGCAGGGATTGGAACAGCATGGCCATGAACCATTGCAGGAACAGCAGGTGCATGAGCCACTGGAGGTTGTTGATTACCAAGAGCCCATACTAATGAAGAAAATTTGATGCGAAGAATAGTAAAAACCTCTTTTAGATTAGGCTTACTCATATCCGCACGGCAATAAGGGCATGTTACAGGTTCTCCACCATTGAACCTCATAGTTAGCCATTGAGTCATCTCATCTCTATGACACGGATTATGACATGTATTACAGATAATCGTCGGTTCATTAGGTCCTATGTCTTCCTGACAGATAGGACAAGTTCTAAAAAAGGATGTCAAATAAACTACATAAGTAATATGAATTAAACACTAGATCACTTACACTAGTACAAATTGCTGCTGCAGTTGTATAGCTAGTTGTTGTGGTAGAGGAGGAGGTAGCGGTGGTAGTGGTGCTGGCGGCGGCAACGGCTACTATGACGAAAGAAAAAAAAAAGAGCATTACATTTTGCATGGACTACTTGAAAAGCTCAGGTTTCATTCACCGGTGCTTGATCTTGTGCTCTCATTGTATTTCTAGTTGGCAAAAGAATTTAATAGATAAAATTCACAGGTAAGGTTTTTGATATATGTCTACAAGTTTCCAAGACATGTTGATATCTTTTGACGAGTGTAGATCATACTAAAATAAATTTTCTTTATTTCATTTCTTACTGTACACAATACAGATGCAGATACAAAAAAATAGAGTATATTTATGTTCACCGACTAAAAACAGGGGTTAAATGGATACTTACTTTGCTGTTCTATGTGTTGGTTAATCGCTTACTTCAGTTTTTTCCTTTCATCTCAAGCTGCTTTGTGGGAAGGGTGAAAAATTGAGATTGTTATTGCATAAATGAAGCCTATCAAGGTTTTTTCCTTTTCTGTTGAAAAAATATATGTTTATCTCGTTAAATTCTTTTCTTTGCTTTTTTTCTGTCTGTTTTCGAAGGGCAAAGAATATGTATGACGATGATATGCTTGGCAATTACTTTTTTCTTCTTTTTCTCCATAGTTGAGTGTGTACTCGGATTTTTTCTCTCTTCCTATTCTTCTCTTCTCTTTCATTTATTTTTTTCACCTACTAGATCCTACTATTTTAACACTCGTGTTTTATTTTTTTTGCATAGAAGAAAGAAAAAGAAAAAAAAATGACGTTTTTTATCATGTTTTTCTTTTTCATTCATTTATTTTTTGTTTCTTATTACTTTACAGTTACGATTTCAGCTCTTTTGGCAACATATTCTACTGGCTTCAGTCTTCCTCAGAAACAATTACATTGATACATCGAAGTGTAAAACCTTCTTTGCATAGACGCTCGAAACATTTTCATCAGATTGTTGCTCGGTAACCCATTGATTTTTCTCATGGTGAGCATCTCTTGGAAAACTTGGCGTTTTTCTTTTTTTTTTTCTTATTTATGACTTTTTAACAGTACTACAAAACATTTTGCGGAGGAAACTTTTTTTATTCAATATACGAAAGAAACACTACTGGAAATGTCTAACGAAAACATCAGTGAAACTCCAACAACAGTAGGAACAGCAGAACAACAAGACAATGACCTTTTTGCTCATGGTGATGGCTTATATTGGACATGTGAATATGAAAAGGCTAAAGAATATTTTCAAATAGCTTTAAATCAACCATCAATAAGTCTTCTTGATGAAGTTCGATGCTACAGTTCACTTGGTGCAGTCAACACTAAATTACAAAATTATAAAGAAGCATTAAGTAACTACAATAGACAGCTTGATATATTGTTACAACTGAAAATATCAAACATCAATGAAGCTGATATTGCCAAATGTTGCATGTCAATCGGTATGGTCTATTGGCTGATGCACGACTATGCTCAAGCTATTTACTCCAACAACCAAGCACTCGCCGCTCTTTCCACTGATAACCAAGCTTTTGATCTCACTTCAAACATTTATAAGAATCTAGCTAATCTACACACAAAACTAAATGAGTTCGACTTGGCACTAACGTACTTTGGGAAAGCACTTGAAATTGATCGCCAACATCTAAGAGAAGATCATCTAAAATTTGGACAAACCTATGCAAATATCGGAACGCTGTACTATTCTAAACAAGATTTTAAACAAGCATTGAATTATTTTTTAAAAGCGCGTGAAACTTGGCTAAAATCTCTGCCAATGAGTCATATGTATATGGAATCTATGGAAAAGACAATTCGCACTGTTCAATCGAAACTAGGTATGTGCATGTTAGGAAGGATGAAGCTTGCTTCTAAAAAGTTAGCTATGGAGCGAGTCGAATATTTCGCTTGTATACTGCTCAGATAACCTATTGTCAATGCTTAAGCAAGAAAGCTAGATTAACCTAACTTGCTTTTTTTTCTTAGAAAGTGCTGTTAAGAACGCACTTTAGGCAGCTAAAAAGCACTTAAAATCAGAAATATAATCATTTCTAAATGCTGAAATCTTAGGTCATTTAAAGACTGTCTAGCGCATATTTTACGTAGCCAAAAAATTGATGCATATCAAGTTACAACTACTTACTAACTATTATGAATATATTAAAACTCGATACATTCTTAAAAAGAACCTTATTAATTCCACTACCGTCCTGATTTAGTTTGTACAGTTATAGCAAAAAGTATCTTTATAATTTCGTTTTTGATCAAAGATAGTCTGAAGACAGATTTTTTAATATTTCATAGATATCAAAAGAATCATCACGTCGTCTAGTATTTACCCTATAAAAATCAACGTTGATGACTGAATCTGTGTTGAATGAGAGGAATATATATCTGACTTTGCCCTGATATTGAACGACAATGATGAAAAATGTTACGTACTATCGCATGTTTGACAGCCTTGTCAGCTCTCACTGATGTAACCAAGAAAATGTCAATCTTCTATATTACTAAAGAAGATTTAAGACAAGCTAAATAATTATTTTTATAGATCGCGATCGAGCGATTCTAAGATAAAACATCAGTTCTTCTTTTTTTCTCACAAAAATTAGATGGATTTATATAGGTATTTACTTAGACAAATCCAAAAGTAGTGGCGGTGGTACTTCAATAGTGTGGATGAGTATATGCAGGTGGGTGAGAGCGAGGATGAATAGGAAATATGACATCTTCACACCATCAGTCACTCACATTTGCATGCCTTTCGCTCACACTCATACTGTCATCATTAAAGAAGCCTCCATTTCTTTTAGTGCTATCGGTGATATCTATATCTACTTCGAGTAAACCATCAAATAGTAAAAGGATATAGAGTTTCATCCAAAATGGCATAAAAAAATCTATTAAGAAATAAATGTTTATTTTATATTGTAGATGCTTCGACAATGACTGATGTTGGCTCAGACAAAGCAAAAGAAGAGACACAGTCTAGCGAAATTCAAGTAATTCAAACACTTTCTTGGTGCTGTTTTTTTCTGCTCAGACTCATCTTCTTTTTTTGATAGATCGGTACTATTGCAACAGACACTACCCCTACTGACAGCACTGAAGTTACCTTCATCTTCAAAAAGGTCAGATGATAGTCACTCTAGGAAATGCATATTCATCTTATATCTCATACTTTTAGATATCTACCAAGGAAATTCAGTCGCTAGAAGATAAAGGTAGGACATCATTGGCTATCGCTTTGAAAGTAAGAATGATTAATGATGGTGAGAGATATGTGAGTAAAATAACTGTCATGTCTTAGACTTCCTGAGCACATGGAAGAAACTTGTAGATTATTTAGTCACTTTTGGAAGAATTTTTCTTGCTTGTCTACAGTTCGCGGATGTGGAATTACTTCATTTTTTGGGATAAGCTCAGTAATTTATTTATAGACATACAGCGTATATTTCTTATGAAAATGAGATTTTCAATCTCATTGCATTTCTGCCACAACATCACAGCAAAAGCATGCGAGCATTTTCAATATAAAAAAGCAAAGATTCTGGGTTTTAAGGAGACATTATATTCTCATATTATCTCAAGTAGGCGACACTGGTCAATGTATTGAATATTCGCATCATTGATTAAATGATTGGCTTACCCGAATTTCGCCAATAAGACTTTCGCCAACTGGACATTCGCCAATGGCGAAAGTCCAGTGGTACATTGGCGAAAGTCCAGTGGACTCTCGCCAATTGGCGAAAGTCACCAGGGTATATTGGCGAAAGTACACTGGACTTTCGCCATTGGCGAATGTCCTGTTGGCGAAAGTCTTATTGGCGAAATTCGGGAATCCCAAATGATTGTTAAAAATGACTTTTAAAAATTAAAGAAACTAGTATATCGAATAAAAACTAAAAACAAAATTTGATTTTATCACATTCTCGCGTCATTCGGTAATGAATAAGATGTTTGTTTTCATTCACTCTCCAGAGGACACCAATATACGTGTGATCTCTTGCTCATCGAACGACTACTGTACATATAAGAGTTGTTCGAGGGTGACGGCTAACAGAATTTTCTTGTCTTTAGCTTTGTTTAGAAGCATATTTTTTCTATTTTTGGGAAAAAGGTATCGTCTCCTCGCAGACTGGTGATGCGTTGTCATTCATACTAATTGATGATTAACCTGTTTTAAAAGCCATATAAACAGATCAAGTGTTACTACTTATACTTATGTTTTGTATTATGTAGCGAAAGAGGCTATCACAGAAGAATCTGATTGAAAATTGAATATACCTAATTCAATGGAGTACATCATCTTATGAATGTTTTGATTAAGATAAAGTACATTCACTTGTTACACGTAAAAGTACAATTAGTTTTCCTTGTTGGCTGAAATCAATCAGTTTCTGTTCCTTATTTAATTCTTTTTCATCGAAGTTTTAATGGCAACATGAACATATGTGTGGTGATCATTTCAAATCCATAGAAACTTGGAATAGCAAAATAAGAACTCAATACGAAATTATTTCATTCACTTTTTTCAGTACTTATTAATCTATGCTTGTTTGGGAATTTCTACAAGTTCTTGTCTATGCATAGATTCTTGAGTTTCATTTTTGCCTCCGTTTTAATGAGTTCCTAGACTTTGTTGATATGTTTAGAATCTCTAAGTTTCTTCACTTCGTTGAATTTCAATGGTTCGTGCAGTTGATGGAGTTCATCGGATTCTTCTCAGTGCATCTCTTTATTCAGTTCCTAGAGTTCGTCAAATACTTTGGGCTCGCTGACTCCTATCAAGAAACTAATCTAATGAACTCATGACATTTTAGTTTATGACATTACACAGGATGAGAACAGACTTCAAGAAGTTCATAAAAGATTGCAATATGGCACATGGTCATTATTTTGCATTCTAAGTTTTTTTTCAGCTACGTTTACTCCAGCAACGAAGAGATAGTGGAAATTCTGAATATTGCGCTAAAAACTATTTAAAAAAAAATGTTTTCGTAATTGTAAAGTGATGCGATTCGATACATTTGTTCTGGTCGACAGATATCCTATGGGGTACTTGTGTGGATGTGGGTATGAGTATTAGTACGGAAGAAGGTATGGATGTTAGTACAGATGCATGTGCTAAAAATGCTGCAGGTGTGGTCGCGATATGTGCACGTCGTTGCTCTCTTTATACATGTCAACGCCCACGTCCACACCCCCATTCATTTTTATCTGCAAGAAGAAGTTTTCTTGTTTACAGTATGTTAAGAAACGACATTATCGAAAAGTTTCACCAAGCCGTGCCAAAGAAGAAGAATGTATCATTTATATTTCTCTTGCACGAGAAAAGAAGGTCTCTTCAAAAATGACGGTGATCCTTTCTTTTCTTTTTTTGTTTATTCTAGTGATTCCTAATATTCCAAGCAATTCTCGATGGGCATCGAATGGGGTGACTGTTGCTGGAGGGCATGAACGAGGCAATGCTACAACTCAACTCTGCAATCCTTATGGTCTTTTCATTTATGATGATCAAACGATGATCATCGTCGATTCCGGCAATCATCGTATCATCGAATGGAAGATGGATGAGAAGAATGGGTATATAGTAGCTGGTGACAATAGTCCTGGGAATCGATTGGATCAATTGAATTGGCCAACTGATGTGATAATCGAAAAAGAGACAGACAGTCTTATTATTTGTGATCGAGGGAATCAACGAGTCGTACGGTGGCCTTGTCATAAAGCCACAGCTCAAGGAGAAATCATTGTCAGTGACATCAATTGTTTCGGATTGACTATGGATGATCAGAAATATCTATACGTCTCTGACACTGACAATCATGAAGTCAGACGATATAAAATAGGAGACAAGAATGGAACCATCATAGCTGGTGGTCATGGTAAAGGTGATGGCCTCAATCAACTCAACTATCCGACCTACATCTTCGTCGACCGACAACAGACTCTCTACGTGTCTGACCATGATAATCATCGTGTGATGAAATGGAATAAAGATGGAAATGAAGGAATCGTCGTTGCTGGAGGCCGAGGTAAAGGAGAGACTCTGACACAATTGTCGTTTCCTAACGGATTGTTTGTCGATACGTTGGGTACCATCTATGTGGCAGACTCGTGGAATCATCGAGTGATGCGTTGGTCTGATGAAGCGAAACAGGGCACTGTCATTGTGGGTGGAAACAGCTGGGGAGGAGAAACAAATCAGTTGCATTTTCCCACTAGTTTGTCCTTCGATCGACATGGTAATCTCTATATCGTCGATCAGTTAAATTATCGAGTTCAACGTTTTTCAATTGAATAAACTCATTATGAATGTAAGAAAAGTTAGCAGCGAATTCAGATTTTTCTTGCTGACTTTCACTTCTTGACTTATGATGGCTCACCAATCGATTGTAATGGATGTATAATCCGATGATCTATCGCTTAATGACATTTTTAAACCGGAATCATTGAGCAAAAAAAAATAAATGTTCAGTCTGAAATACCAGCTTTTTGAACACACCGATGTCATAATCCCTGTTGGCATTCTCACCTGGATTTGTGATGGCTCTCTGATTGGTGGTGACAGATGCAGATTCGATTCTTTATCGAATAATGATGCTTTTAACGGGGAACATAGAAGGTGGGGTGCTGATGTGAACGTGTGTGGGTGGGTGTGGGATGTGGGTGTAGGGTGTAGGTGTGGGGTGTGGGTGTTGATGTGAGTGTGATTGTTGTTGTGGGATTGATGTGAGTGTGGTTGTGATGATGTGGGTGTCGGTGCTTATGTGGATGGAAGTTATCTTTAATTGATACTGGCACATACACCCACACCTGAACTATCTTTTCAAGAACTTACGTTTGTATTTATCTATCTGCCTGCTATATATGCCCAACTTGAAAGTTGAATTCCATTATTAAATGCTTAAAACTTGAAAAATTGAAACTCAACTATTCAAGTATTGTACTTGTCTATCACTACCACGAAGACATACACAGTATCTCTCTCGTTGAATATCTTTCCAATTAACTGATAATACTTCATTAGCTGTCTATTCATCTATCAATTTCACTAATATTGATTTCAGATTTAATTGGTTCTAAGTAATTTTTGCATCACTTTAAAGCAACAAGAAATAAAATTTTGGGATTTTCAGCACCTTATATAGTTAAAACTGCTGTATCTTTTTAAATAGGCGATCAAGAAATTTCTTGCTTTTCTTCTTGACCATATGATGAGTTTTGAAGACGATCTCTATTTGATCAGGATACAATGTCAGTTTTCAATTGTAATTTAACGATTAGAAAGTCTAGAATTCTCCATATCTACTAATATTGGACCGAAAACTGTAACTGTTTTCGTTCGAAAGATATAAAGATCTTATTGGAGATGATATTTGTTAATGTTTCAAAATTTTATGGTCTAATAATTGACGAGCTTTTCCTATATGATAAATAAGTCCGTTTAGCTTTTATTTCTATAAAAAAAAACTTCGATGTACTCTTCAGTGATATCACCTTCAATCGTGAAAAAAAGGTTTCTCTTTTTTTTCTACATATTTTCAGAAAACTTGATGTAGCAGTTCTTTTCGATGGCTTCGATTTTGGGCATCAACTTGTGTCCTAAATCATTCAGATCTGAAATAGTCGTATTATAGACTGTGTTTTGATATATTATCATGAAAAGAAATCCAATAGTGTCAAGTCAAGTCACTATGAATTCTTGTGATGTGAGCTCATCTCCTTCATAGTCTACTGATAATCGAACATTTCGTTGAGGCAGCAGCGAAATGTGCTCACGTGATCAGTTAGAAGAGAGGGTAAAGGGTAAGAGAAATGACTCCTCCCAAGACTGAAAGATGAGACTAGTAGAAGTTCTTTTTCTTTTCGGTTCTTCAGGATCTGATTAGACATTCCCATTTTAATCGTCACATTAAATCATATACAGAGAAGAACATAACGACACCATCGGCAAGCAAACATGAAATAAACATATTTTGTACACTTTGAACAATAATCATGTTCATTGGTACAAATTGTGTGCCAAAGTTAAAATAAATTTCAGAATTAGAACACTTGGTTAGTCTTTTTGTATGAAAAGAAATACACGAGACAACGACATCGACAATCCGAGGACCTAAAGATATAAAGTGCCTCAAAAAATTTTAAGATTCTTCGCAAAAATGTGGATATTTTTAAGCAAAGAAAATTATTATTGGGCATAGTACTCTGTTTTCTCAAAGCATAACAGTCTGTATCACAGCTTAGTAAGTATGGAAGCTAATGGTTTTTAAATCATAAAGATTGAATATAAATATCTGTGTGTCTCAAATAGAACCAAATGCTACGTTACCTGCCGCTAAGAATTGAAACTGTACTTATAAGTTAGCTTCTCATATTAGTTAGCAGATATTTATAGTGCCAAAAGTGTGTTTGTATGCCTTCGTTAAAGATAATCAAAGCTATGTATGATAAATTCTTGAAGCTAACTTAGCATTATACTGTGAATGCGATATTTTGTTTAAATAGTTCGCTACTGTCTCGACGAAGGATTCCACGATCAGTGAACTGAAAGAGATGAATTCATACTATACACTTCACAATAACCTGATTTGACACTATTGGATTTCTTTTGGTGAGAATATATCAGAGATTGTGGATGTAGGTACCATTCAAGAGGGGATCGATACTCACACTCCATCAATCTGCCAATTTGGCTATGTATCTCTAACTAACTATCTACTTATCCTTTTATTAGACTAAGAAGCGTACGCATGAAAGAACACGTTTCATAACATTAACAGTAAGAAAATACAACGCAGAAGTTATTGAAAGAAAAAAATAAAACAGACTGAGAGTAAAGCGGACGAAATAAAAACAAATTATGCAAATGGAAAAATAAAACAAACAGATGGTAGAAATTGATGATAGTTGAAAATGAGTTAAGTTAATCGCATAACAAGGCAAGGGAAAAGAGTATCAAGTTTCATATTTGTTTTAGACTTTATAATAGCCGAGAAAGAGTCGAACTCAGATGAGAGAGAACGAGGAAGATTTACACAAAAGAGACAAAGACAAATAGATTTAATTTCAGGTTCGAGAATGTTATCTTTACAGTCTCTTATATGATTATAAGAAAAAACTGAGTAAGGCATGCATATTATTGTACACAGATAAGAACCGCCCGGTAAACAAAAAGTTATGTCTACCAACCAGAATCCCGGACCGGGTAGAATAAATTTTCATTCTTATCATTTTTCGAAATTATATAGATTTCAATGTCATTTGATGATTCTTTTAGCCGAGATGAAATCTAGATCATGATAACTGTCACACCGATACTGATACCCACATCCATTGCAAAAGGCATCTCTTATTGAAATGTAACAATTGATGTTCGTAAGAAGAGCAAACAAATACTTTCATGTTACTTTTTCCTTATCTTGTCATTACAGGTTTTTTTCATATACGTTGTTGATTTCATCTTTCTATTTGTTTCCACTAAACAACAGTACATTATTATTTACGTCTTCTTTTTCGCTAACATTCATCATTTTTCACAGTGGACAATAATTAGTTGTCGTTGTTTACTATCAAAATAAATCATGCAAAACATTTATATGAATGATCGTGAGTTTTATCAACCTAACCTTCCTTCATTTCCATTACATGAATCGAATGAGATCTGTGTAACACAATTGTCTCCAGAGACTAGCATACAAACATGGCCATGTGATTTCAAAACTGGTAGTGATATCATAACGCACTCGTTTCATGAGGAAGTTTACATCTTAGAAGGTGCTATTATTGATCTTTCTCTTGGTCAAACATTTGGTAAAGGATATCATGCATGGCGCAATTCTGGAATGAAACATGGACCGTATCAAGCTGATCCGAATGTTGGTTGTCAAATGCTTGTTATTGTCAGAAATCCTAATAGACTATCAGATTCTCATTAAAATGTCTAAATTACAATATTTGGAATGTATTTCGAACTCTAACATCATGTTCACCGGTTTCTTTTAATGCATTTGATTATACTGGTAGAATAACTTCATCTAATATTCCGACTATAATACATCTAAAATAAATGATTCATTCAAAGTTTTGGACACGTATGACTGTGTGGATGTGGCTGTGGGTTTAGATGTGAAGAGCAGACTCAAACCTACACCCACCTTTTTTTGCTGTTTCATCTATAGCAGTTATGATTTGTCTTTGAAATAAAATTGAAAAAATCCTATATTTTAGAAAAAATTCTAATCAAAGGTCAGCATATTACTTACACTATCTGAAGAATATTTATTGTATTTATTTATATTCGTAGGATAGAAACAAGCGATAAAACTATATTTAAAAAAAAATTCAATAGCTTCAGTAAACGTTCTATATTACAATTTCTTTCTTTTTCTAGAAATAATTATCAATTGATATTAACTATCTTGGTATTTGGCTGTAAAAATATCAACTATAGAAGAAAAAAGTATCAAGATGACATTGATTTCATTATTTGATACAGTAAAGCTATCTAGAAATGGAAAGATTATCACTGACTATGTTCTTGCATTCTAGATAACCGTTAGTGATTGCCAGTGAAGGGATAGATATTGTTTCAGCTGAATTTAGATTTCTAACAAGTCTTAGATTACATCTTTGAGTAATCTTCCTTTCATAACACATCCTGGTATGATTTTGTTCTTGTTTTCACGATCAAGGTTTAAAGATTTGTCAGTGCAGATATAACTGAAATAAGTCCAAAACTACATGTATCAACCTTTTAAATCTTGTTAATTGTGAAGTGTTCAATAAGATAATTAATGAACAGCGTCAAATACTAAAAGATCAACGTCATGCCATTAGTTAACAATTGAACCTGATATCAGATGATAATGATAATGAAGTAGTATCACTTACTGCTCGTTTAAAATCTTTTTTTTTCTATTGAGGAAATGGAACAAACAAGGAATGATGCAGCTGCTCAAGTAAAAACTTAAATAAAAGATTTTTTCATATATAGAGTTCCACTCAATCGAAATATAAATGTGATATTAGTAATCAGTGCTCAAAACTGCATATAAATGATTTGCTTTTGAGAATACTTGGAGAAAAGAGAATGTCGAATCGTAGACGAAACTACAGCGGACAAAAATTTCAATATCAAATGTTGAAAACTAAAATATAGGAAACATTGGTAGTGACAGACTGAAAAAGGAACAGAAAAATAAACTATTGTTCAGGAAATGTATGCATTGATTACTTTTCGTGTTGTCTGCTCTGGTGTTACACATACATTGTTGACTGTTTTAGGTAATTTTCTTATCC